ATCATCATCATCATCATCATCATCATCATCATCATCATCATCATCATCATCATTAGCGTTGTGTTGTCGTCATCTTTGTCGTCATTGATGAAATTTTCGACTAGAAGAACACCACCGCCAGCTTCTCCAAAACAACAGCATCAACAACAACAACAAACTTTATTTACCCTATCACAATAATAATGTCTCACTAACAAGGCAATCTCCAACATCCCGATTGGATGCGGGAACAAGTTTACTTTACTTTGTTTACATTGCTCCTACGTTCATAGCCCTATGACAACAACAATAATTTGTTTTCTCAGCAATAGCAATACCAAAAAAATCATCATCATCATCATCATCATCATCATCATCATCATCATCATCATCATCATCATCATCATCATCATCATCAACAACAACAACAACAACAGCAGCAGCAGCAGCTGTTTTAAAGGCCCATTTGACTCGATGCAATCAGAGATGGACGTTTGGTTCTCACGTTCCGTCTCTAAAATTAATCCTGAAGTGGGGGAAAGGCACAATACCCACACAAATAGCACCACCAAGTCTATGGTCAACGTACCCCGCAGAGCTTGGCAGCCACTTCTTTGATTTTCTCCATCTTGGCCTCGGAGATACCTTTGATGTTACACAGCTTCTTTCTCGTCGTCATCTGAATGCCCTGGACGGATGGGTGTATGGATGGATGCTTGCAAAGTTATGATTCTGATTTTGTATTAATATTATAAGCGATCATGGGTACAGAATACTGTCCACTTAACGCATACAGTCAAAAGTTATCGTCAATTTTTTTTAAAGGCTTGGAGCCTCAAATTTAATTTACCCTGGGACCGCTGAAGGTAGAGTCTGGGTGAACCTGGACCATATCAATTATTCCATTTTTAAAACTTTCAAGTATTTTTTAGAAGTGCGACTGGTTTAAACTTCTCAATCTTTAATAATAGCAGTTCACAGCATGAACGGTTCTTCAGAACATAGGCTTCTCTTGCCTGTTCCTTGCTGTCTGGGGCATGGCAGCGCTTCGTCTTACATGTTTTGAGAGACGCATATAATGTGATGCGTTGCATTTATTGTAAATTGTATTATTCTCTCTATATTGAACTTTAAACATTGAAATTAATACGACATGCATACAATATTTAAATTGTATGTCAATATATCTACATTGCCATTCCTGTATATTAACAGAAAAATTTCCCGCAGGTAGCCTACAACAAAAAATATTATCTTGTCTTATCTTATCTTATCTTATCTCATACACAGTTGTCTTGCGGGAGAAGCAAGTGAGACCCTCAGAATGGCTTGAAGATGCTCATCAACAAGTTTGGAGCTGTGGGCTACTTTGACTCGTTGAAGTTGATGGTGAAGAAAAGCTTATCATACATAGGTTAGGGTA